GCTATAACATTGTAAGCTAATGCAAACAACACTCAACACTTCAAATAGCAACCATTCAACACCATGTGGCCTCCAATACTACAAGTTTTGCCACAATCAGCCTTCAAACTTCATTTTCTAATCAAACATCACAAACTCATAAAAACTAAATAGCAATAACTTCATGTATAATGAATTCAAGGCAATAAGTAGAATAAATGAGTTCAACTACACTTGCCATCAACTAATTCTATGCCTTAAAGCCTTAATTTAAGGTTTCATAAAAATCTACAAACCCTAGCATAAACCCTAAAGTCATGGGAGGTTCTTCCTTACCTTTTTAAAGACTTCCTCCAACAAATCCTTTGCCTTTGACTTCTTTTACACCTTAATCCTACATATATAACATTATACCTCAACATCTACCTCAAATCTTCAAATCAAATCAAAACTAAAGTATTTAAACCTTACCTCAAACCCTTAAAATTGAAGATCCAAGGGTCCTATCTTGTTCTCCTTGAAAAATTAAGCAAAACTCCTTTAAAACTTAGAGAAAGAAAGCTTGTTTCATGGAAGATTTGAGAGAAAATGGAAGAAATGTTGAAGAAATGCTCTTTCTCTTAGCTTGAACGAAATTTCATCTCATTTATAGGAAAATATTTCATTTATTTTCCAAAATTATGCTATTGGCCCAATTATTTTAGTTGTATAACTCATAAGTCCTTAATTCTTCATATAAGGGCATTTTGGTCATTTCACACTGGACATAATTATTACTTAATTAATGCCATTAAATGCAATGAAGCCTACTCATCCTTGACTTTTTCAATGCTTATCCATAGGAAAAATGACCACTTCGCCCCTAATGCTTTTCTATGGATAATTGATTTATACCGTTCCAAAAAAATTGACTATTTTACCCTTAGTTAGATTTTATGCTTTTTAACATAAAATTAACATCTAAAGGACTATTTTGAGTTAGGAACATACCTTTGACATCTTGGATATTACAGTCCACCTTGGTAATAGCAAGCTTGCCATCCCATGAGGATAGGTCTTTCTCTAACTTTTTGACCTTTTCTTGAGCTTCAGCGGGCCCGGAGGCCAACTTATTGTTGGCACCCCATTGTTACTCCAAGTTTTTGGCTGCTTTCTCCTTTGTAACTTGAACCTAGGAGAGCTTGTCTCTGAACTCCCTCTCCTTGACAACTAGGGCTTTGACTTGTTGTTTCTTCAATTGATTGAGCTCATCCCTTAGGGCCATGTTCTCCTCGTCCAACTCTCTAGTCTTGGCTAAGGCCTTTTCCTTGGCCTTGTTAGCTTCCTTTCACGTCTGGTCCAAGCCTACAGGTGAGGCGTGGATCTCATGGTAAAGGAGTTAGGTCATCATGCAAGTCTGAAAGAAAGAAGGAGTAAGATTAACTCTAAAAAAAGAGGTTAGTCAAGAAAGAGAAAAAAAGGGCTATTTTATCTTTATGGCTATGCTCCTAGTGCGAGAAAGCAGCTCGTGAGGGGGCCACGATTTGTATTGCTCGTAGATCCTCCCAGTTATAGCTCCCCTCACCATGTTTATACCAGCGGCGAGATGTTCTAGAACACTGATTAGCCTGTCGATCTTGGCTTCAAGCATAGCATCCTTTTGTTCCTCGTTGCGTTGTTATGCTCATCTCACTCACTGGCTCGAGAACCATAACCACCAGAGCTGGTTTTTTCTTGGCTGAGCCCTTCGTTGAAATGTGGGGCTTCGGTAGTACCTTATTCGAGCCTCTAGTAGGCTCAATAGCTTTCTCTTTCGAGCGCTCCGCTGGCCTAACCATTTTCTTCTTTGAGCCCTCCTTCAGCTCAAGAACTTTCTTTGTCGAGCTCTTTTGGAGCTCGGGAGTGTTTTTCTTTTCAACCACCTTGGTGGCAATTGAAGGCTTCTTGGAGCTTGGAGTGCATTCAAGCTTGCCCCCAGTCCTCTTTACTAGGGGCCATAAGGTTCTAACCCCCGTTTGTTTAGTTACAACATTGGGTTGCTTTTTCTCAACAGTGCAAGCTGCCAGGTTTTGAGGCTTCTTGGCCCACATGTCTGTAAGAACAACGAGTGTATTAGCATACAAGGAAGAAGAATGTGAAAAGGCGAGCTACTCCACACTTACCTTTTTCAAAGATTGTTGGAAAAAGTGCTGAATTTGGGCAAAACCCAAATGCTATCAGATGAGGAATTGTGATTAGCTTTGTCACGTCACGAAAACTCTCAAGAAGGTCGCTAAAAGCCTCTAACCGTCTCTTGTGGTCTGCGACGACATTGGTTTGCTCAACGTTCTCTACGAAAGGAGATAAGGATAGTTAGAAGTTGACCAATAATCACTTAACAGTAAAAAAGAAGCAAGAATACCCACAGGCTTCATCGGAAAAAAAGCCATCACCCCCAGAGCGATAGAAAAAGTACTCAGAATCCTAGTTTCGGAGCTTTTTGGGGACATTGACCAACCCATTCAAATGGGTGTTTCTCACTTTGGAGAGGTATAAAGTGTCATCCTAACCTTTCTTCAGTCTATACAGATAGACGAGCTCCTCTACAGATAGCTCACCTATTTTTTTCTAAATTGTAGGCAATGTACATGCCTACCATAATTATATGAGAATTCTTTGTCAATTGAAGGGGAGCAACGTTGAAACGATCCAAAACGTCAAAAATGAATGGGTGAGGTGGGATAGACAAACCACACCTCAGAAGAGTCTCAGAGATCACTACCTAACCTATGGGGGGATTCTTTCACAAGAAATCTCTTAGAGCACGAAGAGAGTATTCGACCTGGAACGCATAATTCTCCCTTATCCGCTCAGGATCATTTTTGGTGATCGAGGTAGTTGGATCTTTCCTAAACCTAGATTAATGTGGTGTCGAGTGATGAAGCTCAGGTAATCTCAATGACCTATGTGCAAGCTAAATAGGCAAAGGAATTTAATCTAAGCGACAAATCAAGCAATCCAGTCTTCAAAGCTTGACAAGACCTCTGAACACTGGGGGACAGAAGTTATGTGTGATTTTGCTAGAAAGCTTGCAGAGATGTAGTTCGACCCATAATCAACTCGACCAAAGAACAAGCTCGACCTAGAATTAGTACAATCCAAAGTAAGCTCGATCCAATTGAAGCTTGTCACAACGACCAATCCTAACAGTTGTTTGACAAATCAAAGATAAGCTTCAATTTCGGATATTTCGGAAGGGATAAGATCAACACCGCTGGAAGTGCAATCTCAGCGCTCAATCACAAAGATCATAAGATTGCATACCAAATTTGATCGCAATTCCGAACTTATCTATCTTTCCTTTTACTAAAACTTGTATAAATACCCCTTCAAACTATGAAAGAGGGGTTAGCAATTTGTTCTAGCCATTCTATTTATTTCTCTTGTAAGCTCTCTAAAGCAATAAAAGAACAGTGGACGTAGGCTTAATTAAGTTTTAACTTGCCGAACCCCTTTAAAAATTGTTTGTGTTCTTTACTTTATCGCATTTTACATTACATTGCTAGTTTACATTAAATCACACACACATCTGTTCCAATTCCTCAAGGTCAATCAGATCAGTCGAGTTGGTGCGAATTTTCGTATCAACAGATCAAGTTCATAGTGATGAAAAATTTAAAGCAAAAGCTTTAGAACTCAAGAAAACTGCCATGGAGACTGGTTAAGGAGGTGGTGAGTCAAACAAGCGTTTCAACAATTTCATTGAATGGATCAAGGCATAGGAATTGCCTACAACAGGGGCAGAGGGAGGGGGGTCAAGGAGGGCCAGTTGACCCTTCTTAACTTTGAAAAGTTATCAAATATATATATATATATATATATGAAATTAACTTTTAAATTCATCAAATATATCAAATTAAATTCTAAGTTTTTACAAAAAAAATCCCACAAATACATTTAATAAATTATATAATGAATTTTATAAATATTATTTTTGTACAAATAACAAAATGAAGAAAGTTTGTATATCTTTTCATATTTTTTTATAAAATAAATATCATTTCTAAAATTTGTTTGTCAAATTAAACTAAACTACTGTCAATTGTTGCAACCCACCACTATGGCCCCCCGCTTAAATTGTGGTGCTTAAATGGAGAATCGAACCTGAGACCGTATGCCTATCCACACTATCTCCAATTCGTTCTAACCATCTAGACTACCCACATATGAGTTATATCAAAATATTGAAGTTAGAAAAACAAAAAAAAAAAAAAGATAAATATAAAAAATATGTATTTTGATGCATTATTTTAAGGGGTCAAAACATAAAAATGAAATTACAACAAAAGTTATAATAGTTACTATAAAAGCTAGATAAATTTTTGAATATTTTATTAGTATAAATTTTATTGTAGTTTAATTTGAAGGTGTTGTTATTTGTGTTGGCTTAATAACTTGTTCATTAGTAAATTTTCTTAGTTTTATTTTACACTCATTAAAGAATTATAAATTTATTCCATATCGTCAAATGCAATGATAAATATATTAATTATAAAGAACATTATAAATAAATACTCATATTTTTGTATAACTTATACCCAATATATTATTTATTTTAAGTTTATTTATAATTATATTATTCAGTTTAAGTTTATTTATAATTATATTATTCAGTTTAATTAACGTTTTGACCCTCTAGAATGAGTTTCTGAGTATGTCCCTAGCCTACAAAATACAAAGTGATGGAACATTGGCCATTACAACCCATCGAGATTTTATTTTCAGCTTGCATTACACTATTACTCTTCTCATTATTTTTTTAATTTGTCATAGGCTTTTGCTTTTCGATTTGTGGGTGTAATTTCTTTTTTCCTAGTCATAAAGTTTCCTTATTCAACCGACATTTGTTAAAAAGACAAAAAATAAGAAAGACTAAAAGCTTGAACCACAACCACAAATCAATAAGAGAGCAGAACTTGCACCCTACCATACTGGAGGTCCATAATGAACATCAAAGATGACATACAAATTGAAGACATTTGAGACTGAGATTTTGGAGGTGTCTACTGTCCACAAAAAACTACAATAAATACAAACTTTTATGCTCTTCATAACAGCTAGAGCTAGCTGCATCTCAGCAACAAACTGTACAGGAAACAAAGAAAAAAATGAGTCGTCCACATATCCTTGCAGTACCTACTCCTGCACAGGGCCATGTAATTCCCTTACTGGAGTTTTCACAATGTTTGGTTAAGCATGGCTTCAGAGTCACATTTGTCAACACAGAATTCATTCACAAACGGGTCATGGACGCATTACAGGAACAGAACTACATAGGGGATGAAAATGAAATCCATCTTGCAACCATCCCGGATGGATTCGAGCCCTGGGAGGATAGAAGTGATTTAGGTAAGTTATGTGAAAAAACGTTTACGGTGATGCCTGGGAAGCTGGAGGAGCTTATAGAAAAGATCAACAGAGAAGAAGATGAAAAGATCATTTGTGTAATTGCTGATGGGACTGCTGGGTTTCCTATTCAAGTTGCAGAGAAGATGAAAATTAAAAAGGCCGCATTTTGGCCTGCAGCAGCTGCATCTCTGAAACTGCTCTATGATACTCAAAATCTGATTGATGATGGAGTCATTGACAATGAAGGTAACAATATACACTTTCAATCATTTTTATACTTTTCTATCTCCAACTGTTAATTTAATTAATGCAAATTAAGTTGAAGTCATTTAATGATATTATTGTTGTTAGAGCCTCTTTCTTGGGTGATAACTTTTATAAACTCCACAAGTGATTATCGAGAAACGGTTTCAATTAAAACCACCTCTTATAAGAAAAAAAAACCTGGAGAAGAATTAGGATTACTCACAATATAGGTAGGCCATGTAGGTACTTCATTAATTTATACATTATTTCTTTTACAATCACTTAAAATTTTCTCGTTATGCTATTATGCCAGGAACTCCGATAAAAAATCAGATGATTCAGTTGGGCCAAAACATGCCTGTAATCCACAGTTCAAACCTTATTTGGGCAAACATTCGCCAGGGCTTAGCCACCCAGAAGAAAATATTTGATTTTTTTTACAAGATCACAAAGGCCGTGAACGTGGCAGATTTCTTGATTTGCAACTCAACATATGAACTTGAACCTGAAGCATTCAAATCGGTTCCAAATATTCTTCCTGTAGGTCCTCTCTTGGCAAGCAACCGACAAGGAAATGCAGCAGGAAACTTCTGGCCAGAAGACTCAACTTGCTTGAAATGGCTTGATCAACAGCAACCTAACTCAGTCATTTATGTTGCATTTGGCAGCTTCACAGTTATGGATAAGATCCAATTCCGAGAGCTGGCACTAGGACTTGAACTCACCAACAAGCCATTCCTGTGGGTTGTGAGGCGAGACATTGCTGATAACGCCAATGAAGCCTTCCCAGAAGGTTTTCAAGACAGGGTAGCCAAACGTGGGAAAATGGTGGGTTGGGCACCTCAACAGAAGGTTTTGAGTCACCCTTCCATTGCCTGCTTCTTTAGCCATTGTGGTTGGAATTCAACCATGGAAGGTTTAAGCAATGGACTTCCTTTCTTGTGTTGGCCATACTTTGCTGACCAGTTCATTGATGAGGGCTACATTTGTGATATTTGGAAGGTGGGATTGAAGCTTAACAAGGACGAAAGTGGGCTCATCACACGAGAAGAAATTAAGAGTAAGTTGGATCAAGTGCTTGGTGATGAACAATTTAAAGCAAGAGCATTGGAACTGGAGGAAACTGCCATGAAGAGCGTTCAAGAAGGTGGGCAGTCTAACAAGACTTACAACAATTTCATTGAATGGATTAAGGCTTAGGAACTGCCCCCATGATACCCAGGCATCATACATCATTGTTTTAGGTAAAGAGAATTTGTTATAACTACTTGGGAACTTTCGCCATTATAACCCAGATTTTAGTGTCAAATTAAGTGTATTGCTTATTATCCTAGTTAGTAAATATGGGTACGGCAAAAAAAATACAGAAATTTTACGGGTATGATATGAAAAATGATAAAAAATACGTTTATAAAATTCGGTTATAAAATTCAGATACGAAAAAAATACGATACAGGTATATATGGGTTTAATACGACACATTGTCAATAATACATTTTAAAAAATATGGTCACATCAATCCTGGTTTTAGCACTTTTCATGGACCACATAATTAAAATCAATATAACATTTCAAATGCAAAGTATTCAATTTGTGAATAATACGGATGTGCTGATAAAATATGGCAATAATATAAATAATTCGCGAATAATACTGATAAAATACGGAAATAATACAAATAATTCGCGAATAAAACATATGAGGTATATAGTTCGCATATAATACGGATTTGTCAATAAAATATGAAAATTTACAAATAATACACGAGAATTATACGGCTAACGTTTTATTCACAAATTTACTAACATAGCTTATTATTCTGCTATAATATTAAAATTTGATAAAAATTTCCGTTAATAAATGAAAATGTGATGAAACGGCGAATGAACTAGTGAAATTCGTTACTTGTTTGCTACTTGATGCTAACGGTTGCTTCAAATCAATTTAATCCAGACCAATTTGCTTCAATTTTTCCCCTGTTACAAAAATCTATCCGAAACTTTTTTTTTTTTTTTTTTTTTTTAATGACTAGGAGTGTTCAGATTAGCTTATACACACCTTAACTAATTCTCCCGAGACCTTAGGTAAAAGTTTTAGTGGTCACTCTTATTAAGAACTTTGGGGACTCAAACTCGGGAGACCATGTTAGATCCTCCTCTTGCTCTTTTAACAGTAAGAGGATTCAAACTTATGAGACTATGTTAGATCCTTATTTTGCTCTTTTAGCAATAAGAAGATTCAAACTTGGGAGATCATGTTAGATCCTCCTTCACTATTTACCATCATGTTAGCTAGTGGTAGTTGAATCTATCGAACTTAGCTTTTCACTAACCCACTAAACGTTACAATGAAATTCGTTATTCTAAAACAAATTTCATCTTTACAAAGATCGCTACAATGGAGTGGCTTAAAATCACTTTCCTTTTACTTACTTGTAAATTTTATTCAATTAAAAAAACATCATAATATAGGACAAAAACCTCACTAAAACCACACCCCACAAGTCAAAAAAAGACCAGCATGCAGTTACCAACTTTGAGGTTCATAATAAATAAACATCATCATATGAGAAGATAGAAAACTAAATATATCTTAGGGGTGAGTGGTTCTGAGTACCTTATATTTTTCAGGGGAATCGGAATCACACAGTGCAGGTTCTTAAATTTAAGGAACCGGAACCTAAAATACAGAATCCGGTTCCTTTCCCGGGTACCTTGTAAAAAGTCAATTACCCCCTATTAGTTTAAAAATTGACAAAAATACCTTAAAAGTTTACAAATACACCCCTAACAAATTTTGATTACTCATTCATTTCTGTCCAATGTGACTCATAGATCCTCTAATCTCTAGACAACACTTGAATTCAATCAATTCATCACAATTCACATAAAATTCCTCAATCAAAACCAAAACACAAACAATTAATTAAACAATTATACTATAAATCTATAATTTAATATTATAATTAATTAAATTTCTAATCATTTAATTAAGTATTGTACTAATGTTTATAATAGAATATTATAATTAATTAAGTAATCATACTATAAATCTATAATGTAATGTTATAATTAATTAAATTTTTAATCATTACTAATATTTATAATGTAATGTTATAAATTTATAATTAATTAAGTAATCATTTAACTATGTAATGTTATAATTAATTAAGTGATTATAATATAATGTAATGTTATTATCAATTAAGTAATTATTTAATTATAATGTAATGTTTTAGTTAATTAAATTTCTAATCATTTAATTAAGTATTATACTAATGTTTATAATAGAATGTTATAATTAATTAAGTAATTATATTATAAATTTATAATGTATTACTATAATTAATTAAATTTCTAATTACTTAATTAGACATCGTGTTAATGTAGTAAATTATTAATATTTATAATATAATGTCATAATTAATTAAGTAATCATTTCATTATGTAATGTTATAATTAATTATATTATCATACTATAATGTAATGTTATAATAAATTAAATAATCATATTATAAATCTTTAATATAATATTATAATTAATTAAATTTCTAATCATTAAGTATTGTACTAATGTTTATAATAGAATATTATAATTAATTAATTAATCATTTAATTAAGTAATCATTTGCTTATAACGTAATGTTATAATTAATTAAGTAATCATACTATAAATTTATAATGTAATACTATAATTAATTAAATTTTTAATCATTTAATTAAGTATTATGCTAATGTAGTAAATTACTAATGTTTATAATACAATGTCATAATTAGTGAACTATTCATTTTATTATGTAATTTTATAATTAATTATGTGATCATGCTATAATGTAATATTATAATGAATTAAGTAATCATACTATAAATCTTAAATGTAATATTATAATTAATTAAATTTTTAATTATTTAATTAAGTATTGTACTAATGTTTATAATGGAATATTATAATTAATTAAGTAATCATTTGTTTATAATGCAATGTTATAATTAAGTAATTATACTATAAATCTATAATGTAATGTTATAATTAATAAAATTTCTAATTATTTAATTAAGTAATGTACTAAATTACTAATGTAATGTTATAAACTTATAATTAATTAAGTAATCATTTAACTATAATGTAATGTTATAATTGATTAAGTAATCATTTAACTAGTAATGTATTAATGTTTATCAATTTATTTTATATAATTAATTAATTACTGATTTATTACCGATATACTTAGAACTTGATAATTGAAGTAAATAATTAAATATATATTATTATTCAATCAAATATACTATTTTATGCAAAAACAATTCTTTTAATAACATTAAAATACTTTTAATTGGTTTTAATTCCAATTATACACTTAATTAATTAAAACTTTAATATTAATATATTAAATTTTTTTATATGGTGTAGTTTATATATAATAAGTATAATTGTATATTTATTTAATTGGGTTATTGTAAAAATTTAACTTTTCCCATTTTAATTTTTTTATATGTAAAATTACATAGACCCCCATTCTTCACAGATTTTTCATTTCAGTCCAGGTTCCAAAACAAGATACCCGTTATAGGTTCCAAGCCGGTTACCCACTGCAAGTTTTTTTTTCCAGGTTCCGGTTCCTCCACATGTAGGAACCGGAATTGGAACCGCACAGTATCGGTTCCAAAAAAATGGAACCAAAACCTACCCACACAATGTTGGTTCCGGGAGGTTCCGATTCCGGTTTCGGTTCTACCCGCTACCCGTGCTCACCCCTAGATTGAAAGATGGAATATATGGAAAATGATGCATGTGATACTATAACATGTATATTCATATTTTCCCCCCAAAAAAAAAAAAAAAAAAAAAAAAAAAAAAAAAAAAAAATCAAATTGAAAACAAGTAAGGTATAACTTGTTACCTTAAGTCCTTAGCAACCTTGGAGTTTTTAATTTCAAGAGAATTAAACAAAAGAGTATCCACACTAAGGTAAAAAAAGAATTAGGCCAAGAGAGACATTTAGGGTTCTTAAAATTTTGATCTCTACCCAAAATTGATATATCATTTTCTTTATATATAGCCTTGTAAACAGTTCAATATTGTTTTGGACTTCCTTAAACAATTCCATAATTGTTTTGGAGTTGTAAATCTGTTCCATAATTATTATGAAGTTGTTAAACTTCTTTAAATAATAACATTGGATTAACATTTAATCACAACTAACAATTTAACTCTTAAATTGTTTACATAACAATTTAACCATTAAATTGTTCATATGTTTACAATTACAACCCATTATTAAATCCAATTTAATATAAAGAAAATGATTAATTATGAATTGGAATTCCATTTTATTCCAATTAGCAATTCAACTCTTAAATTATTCATAATAACTAATATAACCCTCTATTGAATCTAATTCAATGATAATAATATAAATAACTTTATTACCCTTGGTAGGTGCTAGCCAACCTTGGATAATCAACTCTCTTTAGCTATTTCTCCATTCTCCTTAGTTTTTATGTGTGACCTCTTAGGTTCAATGTGGCCTAGCCTTGGGCCCAATATCATAGTCTATTTCAATATGTTTTGTCATAAATCTTTATGAACAAAACTCCCACTGATTATGGTAGGCATCTAGCAATGCTCCATAACCCTTAAGTCACAATGAAGATATACTCCAACGAATCATTTTATAATCATTCACGCTATATAATCAAATCCTTCCATTGTCTAATCCCAATTAAGAATGGATTCATGGTATATCAAAATCCTTATCTTAATTTTATATCAAATTAACAATCAATACATATGGAATGTGTTACCATTAAACAACCTTTCAAGTAACACTTTATATACCCCGACCGGAGATTTCTCTTTTCCAATGTATCTTGACATTTGTCTAGGAACTTGATATCAATCTATACCAAGTCAACAGATCCCATCTTCACTATCACTTGTCCTCACACATAAACAACACATGGCCAAATCGGCTTATTAACACATGACATGATTAGCCTTGTGTTTATACATCATATGAACCATATGTGTTTATGAAGAATTCAACCGTGATATCTCAAGTCTAAGGATTAATAATACACTAGTACGATCTTATGATAAATCATTGACTATATTTTAAATGTCCATGTGATTCATCATAAATGGTCATATTCGATAAACAGTTCACTAACCGCTTATTCATACTAATGCCCTAATGATATAACTTTTATAATCACCCACACTAATACCATCACATGATATTCTACAGAGGCATTCAGCATGTCTACTATGTAATATTATTACCCAATTAATATTACCTATGTAGGGAATACTTTGATGATTTTGATCTTCTAAAGATTTGTATCATTCGAACATTTCACATATAATACATATATATAAATG